CTCTTTGCACCGGGCAGGAACCCGAGCTGTTTTTTTTATTTCCTGTCTTCTCCCTTTTCCCTGAACCTGTCTTTTTCCCCTTTCCCCTTCTCTCCTTCTCCCATCTCCCTAACCCTTCTCTCCTTCTCCCCCTCCCCTGTTTCCCAGACCTGGCATTGGAGCGTTCCCTGTTCTCCTGTGTTCTGCGGCCCTTGCGGGTTCCTCTGCAGCGGGCCCTTCAGGCCCTGCACAGCCGGGACGGCTCCTCCCACCGGCTGAGCCAGGGCCTGCTGCGTTTAAAGGCCCGCCGCGTTCCCGCCGGCGTTCCCGGCGGCGTTCCCGACGGCGTTCCGCTGGAGCGCCTGCGGCAGAAGCTGCTGCTGATGAGACGCTCGCACTCGCCCATCGATAAGGTTCTGCTGCTGCTGCAGCTGTGCCAGAGCGTGCACCGCGCCCTGCACCCCCCCGGTGAGATGCACACCGTTAGGGGCCGGGTTTAGGGAAGGTTGGGGGCCTTTTAGAGATAAATCCTTAAAAATCAGGGATTTAGGGATGATTGGGGGCCTTTTAAAGATAAACCTGTCATGTGGGGGGGTCTTGAAGGGAGGACTCAGGTGCGGAGATGACGGAAAACAAGGTTTATTGTAACGAAAAAACACTCTGGAAGAGTGAAAGTCCAGACAAAGTTCAAATCAAGGCTGTGGAAAACTGTGAGCAAAGTAACAAAGCAATAAGCAAACAAAACTGAGGCAAAACTATGACTGTGACAAAGTAACAAAATAAAGATTAACAAGACTGTGACAAAGCTGTGGCAAAAACTGTGACTATGACAAAAAGCAAACCTGGCGTGGGGGAGACGAAAGACGAAACGGACAAGAACGCACTCGCACAAGACAAGGGGAAACGAGGACTATTTAAACACATGAGGGAGGGGAACCCCAGGTGAACACAACAGGTGATCAAGACATGACGAGACAGGTGTGCCAGAGCGTGCACCGCGCCCTGCGCCCCCCCGGTGAGATGCACACCGTTAGGACCCGGGTTTAGGGAAGGTTGGAGGCCTTTTAAAACATTTTATTGCCTTAAATGCTAATTAACAGGCTATTAGCATCACAAATAAAAACAGAGCAGAAACAGGCAAACACAAAAAAAATGGGGTGACACTAGGGTTTAGCACATATCTTATCTAGTTATTATAATATTATGATAATTAATCTATTATAATAATGATAATAATGATAGTAATAATAATAATAATAATACATGGATATAGTATAAGTGTATGAGAGTCCCAAGCATAATATTTAGTAACTGGGGTCCACTTAAAGGTACTTTTAGCTGTAAGTGGTCATATATTCACCATGTAAACACATTTTACTTAAATTTTAATTTAATTTAAAACAGTTTCTTTAACCTCACTCCGTGTGGGTCCTCTTGTTCCAAACTCGCCCTTTGCACTGGGCAGGAACAGAGTTAGGAAATATATTAAAAACAGCAGCTTTACTGGGAACTGACCTGAGCGGATTCAGGGCTAATTTCAAAAAAACTTTATTGCCTTAAATGCAAATTAACAGGCTATTAGCATCACAAATAAAAACAGAGCAGAAACAGGCAAACACATAAAAAATGGGGTGACACTGTAAAGGGTTTAACACATATCTTATCTAGTATTGTACTCCAAAAAAGGGACATTTTAGTTTAAAAATATCCATAAAAATAGTAATAATAATAATACACAGCTATAGTATAAGTGTATAAGAGTCCTAAGCATAATATTTAGTAGCTGGGGTCCATTTAAAAACAGCTTCTTTTAGCTGTATTTGGTCATATATTGACCATGTAAACACGTTTTACTTATGATGATGATTGGGGGCCTTTTAGAGATAAACCCTTAAAAATCGGTGTCAGGGAGGTAGGTCTTGATGGAGGACTCAGGCGCAGAGATGACGGAAAACAGGGTTTATTGGTAAAAAAAAGGTGGAAGTCCAGACAAAGGTACAAAAACAGGGCTGTGGCAAAACTATGACAAAGTAACAAAATAAAGATTAACAAGACTGTGACAAAACATGGCTATGGCAAAAATCAAACCTGACGTGGGGAGACGAAAGATGAGGGACGAGAGACGCAACAATAAGGACGAAATCGAATTTTTAGGGGGAAGTTTTAGCCTAAATTAACTAACAAATTTAATATATAATTTAAAAAATATTATAGATATTAGGATATATTATTAAGATTAAATAGTAATATTATAAAAATATTGTTATACTCTATTATTATTGTTATTATTATTACATTATTATTATTATATAAATGTATAATATGTCTAAATATATATACATTGATTATATCATATAATAATGTATATAAGGATATGCATATATGTATCATATATATATATATATATATATCTCACATATATATACGTCGTTTATATATTCTATTTATTATTGTTTATAGAATTTTAATTATTATTATTGTTGTTGTTGTTATTGTTATATATATATATATATATATATACATAAGTATATATCTATATAGAATTATTCTATATAATCATTACATTTATTAATGTTTATAAAATTTGGATTAATGACTACAATTATCTTTTAACTAAATTCAATATTTCAAACATAATTTTAACACATCTGTGAAGTGTTATTATTATTATTATTATTATTATTGTTGTTGTTGTTATTATGAAGTGTTGTATTAAAGCTTTCCTCTCTGAACGTAATAGAGGAATGAGCCTGTGTTATCTCTCTGGTTTCAGGGCAGGATGTGAGCTGGGACCACTTCCTGCCGGCTTTATCCTCTGTGATCGTGGAGTGCAACCGGCCGCACCTCCTGATGGAGGTGGAGTTCATGATGGAGCTGCTGGACTCCTCCTGGCTGGGGGGAGAGGGTACGACCCCCGACCTCTGACCCTCTGACCTCTGACCTCTGACCTCCGACCTGAGCCAGAAACTAACCCTAACCCAGAAAGTACAGGTGGTGGGATTCAGTAGAGATTTAAGCCAAAAGAGGTAGGAAAGAAAAGGTCAACTGGAGCTTCCAGATCAGAGTCTGAGAAAGTCTCAGAGAGATGAAGTTTAAGCTGATTTTGAAGAGAAAAAGGAGGGGAAAACAAGCAGAGGAAGAAAAAAAGATGCTATCAAGAGGAGAAAGACTAATTTTAATGTAATTCTGACAGGAAAAGAAGAGAAAAACAAC